GGTCAAGTTCACCAGCCACTCATTCGAAACCCAATGGTGGTGGTGGTGTGCCATGGAATAGGTTCCAACTCATAGTGACTCTCATAGCACTTAACAAATATGATTAGAAGTCCTGGTGTGGCGCTGTGGGTTAATGCACTGGACTGCAAGGTTGGTTTGAACTGCAAGGTTGGCAGCTTAAGCTTACCAGCTACACCTCAGAAACACTATTCAGAGTCACTTTGAGTCGGAACCAACTCAATGGCACTTAACAACCACAATAAAACAAACTATGATTGGATAGACTTCTACAAAGGAGTAGGACTAGAACTAGTTATTAAGCAAACACAGTTCTTATCTACTGAGTCAGCTCTAAATTGTGGGAAGGAACACGTTTTTCTGCCTAAAGAGTTTCAAGAAATATTTACTAGTCATTTTCAAACTAACATTTTGGTCAGCTCATTTTAAGGTATCCCAATTTCAAACACACAAAGTACAAAAAAAAAAAGTTAAGAGTTAGAAAAGACCAACACTCCTAACAAAAACCATGTTTTCTTTTAAATTATTCATAAAAATAATCCTAATGCTTTGGTTCAAAAGGCAGCCATCTAAATATGATCTAGTTTTGCTCTACAACCTGGAATAGAGAAGCACAATGGCTCTGTGGCATAAGCACTGGACTGTGAATCACAAGGTCAGCAGTTTGAGCCCACCACTTACTACACAGGAGAAAGATGAGGCTTTCTGCTCCCACAAAGATTTATAGCCTCAGAAATCCTATAGAGGGTCACTATTATTTAGGACTAACACTAATGGCACTTAACAAAAACAATCTGGAATACAGTTTTGTCAGAAATGTTCTTGTTAGGTGCCACCAAGTTGGTTCTGATTCACAGCTACCCTATGGACAACAAAACAGAACACTGCCCCTTCTTGCACCATCCTCACAATCCTTGCTACGTCTGAGTTCACCGTGGCAGTCATTGTGACACTATTCCCCTTTTTTGCTGACATTCTACCAAGCATGATGTCCTTCTCCAGGGACTGGTCCCTCCTGACAGGTCCAAAGTATGTGAAACCAAGTCTCACCATGCTTGCTTTAAGGAACAGTGTGGCTATACTTCTTCTAAGACAGATTAGTCCATGGTAAAATAATATTCTTCACCAACAACATAATTAGAAGGCATTAATTCTTTGGATTTCCTTATTCAGGAAGCATATGAGGCGAGTGAAAATAATTAATGAATGAAAAGACTGTTTTTCTAATCAATTTTCTCTAAATTAGTTTACAATATTAAACTAGACCCCAAAGAGCCAAAAGGACAAGAAACCAGATTTTACAAAGACATGACTTTAAAGTAAGACTCATGTGTGATAGGAGTCCTGGTGTGGCACAGATTAATGCACTGGACTGAAAGGTCTGTTTGAACCACAATGTCACTGGTTCAAGCTCACCAGCCACTCCTTGGAAACCCTACGCAGGGTCACTATGAGTTGGAACTGACTCAATACCACTTAACAAAAACAACATGTATGCTAGATTTTTGAAATGCCTCATTGTTTACTCAATTATGTTACTGTGGTCTTTCATACCTTTTACTGTATATCCACAAGGGAAAAAAACTACAGCTAACAGTTCCAAGCCTTGCTCTTATACTATCTGAGGTTTCATATACTTATTGCCTGACTTTCCATTCAAACATAATCTAATGTCTTTGTGGTTTTATCTCTGTCTCCACAGTGTCTGTGACAATCCCTAACAAACAGCAAGCACTCAATGAATGTTGACTGGGATATCAATAGGAAAGACAACTATAGTCTTCCTGTAAGCAGCCACAATATACCCTTGTTTGAATCTGCCACTTTCTGCAGAATGATTTGCAAATTTGGTGTGAGTCTCCTATGAACCTGGGAGCCATCAAGGCAAGCGGTCGGGTCCCCTCAGAGCAAATCCCCTTCCAAGAATGAGACTCAAGGGGAATACATGAGCAGGCATGTGGTCTTCTTGCTGGTGACCGCGTTGGTCACAGATACAGGAAAGTGTGTGCGTATGGGGGGACAGCAATGAACCTGTGAGCTAAGTCCAACCTTGTTCAATAGACTCCTGTCAACCCGGGTTGAGACCTGGTTGGCCAGCAGTATACCAAGTCCTGGGGACTCCTGGGCCCAGACACAGGGACATGGCCACAGAGGACTAGAGCCGAGAGTGAAGCGTCCAGCTAATATGAAGTAAGGGGAGATGCACAAGAACACCTATACTTGCAAATAGTACCCACTTGACCTGGCTTCCATGGCTGGATGATCAGAACTCGACTATAAGAAGAAAAAAGAGGAAAAAAAAGAATAATCCACTACAATTTGATGAACTTGACCTATACCTATGGATGCAGTAGCTCAAAAGAGGGAACAAATCTTTACAGTGAGGATCATTCCCACCCCCTCAGTACACAGTGTTGACAGGGATGAGCAACTTAGACATTGGCTACTTAAAATGTTGGGGGCTACAAAGGCAAGAAATGACTGGCTTACAAGCTTTCAAGAGGGAGCCTCGTTCCAGAGGGTAAGGGAGAAGGTAGAAGAATCTCTACAGGTTTCCAACCTGTCTAGACAGGGCTGATGAAAGGAGATAGGGATAAGACTCTTGGGGTTCAATAGTGAATAACTGCTATCAGGACTGATTTGTGGGTGTTGCAAATGTAAAGGTAGATGTTTTATAACAAAAGGAGGGGAGTCTTGATCTTGCAGTCCAGGAGCGGAGGTCCTTGGGACCATCAAGGGAGAAGAGCGGAGTGCAGGACCCTATCCAGAGAAGCAGTGACACCAGAGATGGAGGCAGAGATGATGACGTGGAGAGATGGAGCAACTGGGGACAGGACTCTGGACTCAGGGAGGGAGAGGGTCTGTGTGCTGAGGGCTAGGGGGCAGACTTCCAGAGTGTACCCTTTGGTTGTTTGATGATGCATGGAGCGCACTGTAACCATTGCAATGAAATGAAATACAATAGGATGAATGTAAAGCTAATGTTCTCCCATGTAAACTATCACTTAATTCACAATAAAAACTTTAAAAAAAAAAACAACCTAGGAAGAAGTCAGTGATTCCAGACAGATACACTTCAAATATAGCTCAAAGTCTAGTATGAACTTGTTGAGAACATATACAAGAATATCAGAGTTACTTCTGCACACTCGAGACACAAACAGATAGATGGTTCATCCCTCAGTAAAGGCATATATGCAGTATAAAACATGCCAAGAAAGGATGCCACAGATTTAATTAGTACTCACAAAGCGTTTTGTTGACACAGCATGAAAGGTTCCACAGACACAGAAAACATTACAACGATGTGGCAATACAATACCTCAAAGACAAGAATCAAGTTTGTGACCCTGATGTAATGAGGATTCCAGGGACCACTGACAATCTCCACTTACAAAGCAAAGCATGGAACAGACCCAAAGTATCAAACGCCCTGTAACAAAGAGAAACTGACATGGTAAATCCTGAGCTGTCCTCCCAGCTGTCCCTTCCACATTAGTACCACAGTGCAGGCAGGCATTTCTTTCACTAAAACAGATTTTTTTCCATATTGTCTACCTTCAGCCATTAAGGTAGCTCACCTCCTGCCCTGTGGCTGCTTCCATATCAAGAAACAGATCAAGAAGAGATCGGACCAGACGAGCTGCTTTAGCCTTGCTGATGGAATTCAAGAAGGGTCGCACATACTTCAGGAGTCCTCCAAGTTCTGTGTGGAAGGGAATTCAGAAAGGAAAAAGTATACATCGATATTAGGGACAAAATACACATTAAAAAAACAAAATCATAAAATTAGTACTTGTCACTGGAATTGGTCTAAATGTAACTTTCTAGAGAAGTTTAAAGTCGTCCCAGCAGGTAACAAGAGCAAAAGTAAGTTAATGTCACATACTAAGCTTGCATTCTAGTCTCCACTCAGACACTGGATTATGATCAAAGTCCTAGAGAAAAATTCCATGACTTTCTGACTCATTTATCTATCTTAACAAAAAACAAACAGCAAAGCACTCACACTCTCAAAAAGTAGTATTCTAGAACATGAAACATGTTATGTCCCTGCCTACCTTGGACAAAATCACCTCCCCACAAGCAACATATATGATCAGGCTATATAAAAGTAGTTTTCTTTTTTTTAATTTCTAAGTTTACCTTAGCAGTTTCCCTTAAACCAAGAGAGGCAATCAATTCCAAGTTCCTTTTTCCTTCCTTCCAGCAATAAACCCTATGCTAGCCTCTTAGCAATATCACTTTCCTAACTAAACTTGTCACCTACAGTTATGGTGTTTTGTTACATGCTCTTTTAAAATCACTCATTGATCTGCAAAATCTAAGTCTTTAACTGTGACCAAAAAAAAAAGTCTTTAACAAGTTTTCTTTATCTCCTAAAGAAGAAAGAGGGCGAGTTAAGGAACTCTAGGAGAGCATCTTTAGAAACAATGTTAAACTAGAGATGCACTTGTCCAAGAGTACAAACGACAGAATATTCCAAGCAAACAACTAAGGAAGTACCTTTGGAATGTAGGTTAAAATTACCTTAGTGCCACTGCCTCTTTAACACTCTCCACCCTCCTGAGAACTCTAATTCAGGGCAAGAAACCTCATCTTCCTTAGAACACCAACTTAACAACCTAAAATCCTCATCTGCCTGAATAATCATAAGATGCATGGGACGCCATCAGATGCTAAAGAACTTTACGCAGAGTAAAGTATTCACCAATATAAATCTTTGATTCCCACTAAGACTTTTCCTCACCTGCCATCACATTCACCCCTACATGGACACTCACACTCACACAGACATGTCACATTAATTCTGCAATCCCATCTTCTCAATTTATATAATCCTATATCATTTTAGGTCCAGCTAAATCTTCCATGCTAATTCTAGCCTACAGTGATTTCTCCCCCTCATATTCCTTTTGAATTTATGTAAATTTTTATTATATAATCATAGCTTTTAAAAAGTAGTCTAGTACAATGTCCCTTCTCCCACATTTCCTAGTATGCTTGAACAACTTGTGGCCTATTCCATTGTTGGTCAAGCCAAATTGTCCTTTTTTGAAACATGAGTCTATATCCTTTCAAATGGCTTCAAATATTTAAAGTGTCATTTACATCTCCCTATAACTTGCCCCTTTTCAAGCTAAGCAGCTTTATCACTTCAACTGTTCCTCCAGCGTCCTAGGGTTTCTAACCTCTGAGTTGTCCTCCGAACAAACTCCAACTTGCAAAAATACCTCTTAAATGTGGTACTCAAGAAACGAAAGCAATGCTCCAGATCGGGTTTGACCAACAGGACAGCATGCTTAGCTTTTTTCTAATAGCACTGCTGGTTAAGATTGAATCCATTAAAAAAAAATTTTTTTCCATAAACTACCATCAAGACAGAGTCCCGGTGTGGCACAGATTAATGTGCAGGACTGCAAGGCCGGTTTGAGCCACAAGGTCACTGGTTCAAGCTCACCAGCCACTCCTTGGAAACCCTATACAGGGTTGTTATGGGTTGGAACCGACTCGATGGCACTTAACAATTGTCAAGGCAGGCACATTTCCCTTTTTCCATTTTGATAAATATTTTAATTATGGTAGCGTAGGGGTTACGAATCGGGCTGCAAACCACAAGGTCATCGGTTCAAAACTACCAGCTTCTCCATGGGAGAAAGATGAGGCTTTCTGCTCCCGTAAAGATTTACAGCCTTGGAAACCCTGTTCAGGGTCGCTATGGGTCGGAACCGACTCCACAGCACTTAACAACAACAACAACATGTTTATCACAAGAGTTCTGGTGTGGCGCTGTGGGTTAATGCGCCAGACTGCAAAGCCATTTGAACTGCATGGTCAGCGATTCGAGCTCACCAACTGCTCCTCGGAAACCCTATACTGGGTCACTATGAGTCAGAACCGACTCGACAGCACTTAACAACAAAAACATATTTATCACAACTGAATTTAATCTTGCTGGCTTTGGCAAATAACTCTGAATCTTAATTCTATTCTCTACTATACTGAGTTGGAGTCCTGGTTTGGCGCTGTGGGTCAATGCACTGGATTGCAAAGCCGGTTTGAACTGCGAGGTCAGCAGTTCAAGTTCACCAGCCACTCCTAGGAAACCCTATACAGGGTAATTATGGGTCGGAACTGACTAAACAGCACTTAACAACAACTATACTGAATCATTTGTAAAAATAAGCACACCTTCTGAAATGGCTTTAGCCAAGATGCCAATTAAAATGCTAAACAGAAGAACAAGGACCGATCCTTAAAACAGGCTGTGAACTGGAAGGTCAGCGGTTCGAAACTGCCAGCTGTTCCACGGGAGAAAGATGAGGCTTTCTGCTCCCGTAAAGATTTACAGCCTCGGAAACCCTGTGCAGGGTCGCTGTGAGTCGGAGCCAACTCCATGGCACATAACAACAACAGGTTAACAAATGATCTACTGATTTACAGTGTGGATAGTTCGTGAGACCACTGTAATCCATAACCTGAACCTGTCATATTAAGATTACGACAAATGTTCAAATCATCTGTTTACATCAGATACATAGTTTCTATCACAAGTCCACTGCAGAGGCTGACAAGCTTTCTGGGAAGGGCCACATTGTAAATACTTCTGGTTCTGCAGTTAGTTATACAGTGTCTGCTGCAACTACTGAACTCAACCACTGTACTACAAAAGCAGTTACAGAAACTGTGTAAACAAACATGCCTCTATAATATTACTGTGCCCCTAATAAAACCTGATTTATAAAAACAGTTGATAGGCCATAGTCTGTGGTGGGGGTGGTGGTTATGTGCCGTGGAGTCAGTTCAGCCATGGTCTGTTGTTGTTGTTGTTGTTGTTGTTGTTGTTGTTGTTGTTGTTGTTAGGTGCCATCAAGTCAGTACCGACCCATAGCGACTTTATGCACAGCGGAACGAAACCTCTACAAATCTACCAGTCTGGCATGGTTAACTAAAAAGAGAGGACTAAGATGAGTTTGGAATAAGTTGTTCTTAATAAACCCACTGCTTTGATTAAACTTTCCTTATCAAATTATCTGTCCCAGAATTTTACTGTAGATTACCAGTTTGCCATGTATGGAATCCATTTTTTTTCATAAGCTTTTTGAAAAGGAGAATGTTTTGTCTGTTCTTAGTTCCCTTATACCTCTCAACCCTCATGATTTTCCTTAGAATAGTTATAGTGGCTTTATAATTATATCTGCTATAACTATTCTATTCATATTAAAAGACAGACGTTATCAAGGGCCTAGAAACTTGAACTTCTTAAAAGAGACTATCTGCTCTCTCTTCTCTCACCTACCTTGGCTTTAATTCTCTTTCTGGTGTTATTTCTATCTTTTTCAGTTTGAAAATCATTTTCCTTCCTGAAAAAGGCAGAAGCAAAACATCAGCTAAGCAGTTCTGCCTTTCTCCCTGTCACCTACCAGCATTACAATAATTTCTCCAAGCACTAAGCCTTATTCTTCTTAGCTCAACGTTGCCATTTTTGAAGGGGGAAAAAAAAACTAATTTGATTTTCTCCTTTATCTTACTATTGCTTTATATTCATATTGCTTATGTTTCTTTCCAATTTCAGATGTACTGAGTTATTTATTCTCATTCCCTTAAAGTCATATTGACTTCTTCTACCTATTCTTATTGTGATTATTTGCAATTACATGAACAAAAAGATTTTCCTTTTACAAATCTTATAGAACTCATCATATTCCTTTTAAGAATATCAGGCTATAATATCGGCAAATTGTGAGCCTACAAATCACTACTTTCAGTCACTATAACACATCAGATATTGTCTTAAAATTCACTAACGCAGAAATGAATGTTGTCAGGGACTTTGTCTTAAACTTTTTGAGCAGACTGCTGGTGGCACAGTGATTAAGTGCTTGGCCCGCTAACCAAAAAGTCTGCAATTTGAACCTACAGGAGAAGATGTGGTAATCTGCTTCCATGGATTACAATCTTAGAAATCCTATGAGTTAGTTCTACTTTGTCCTATAGGTTCGCTGTGAGTCGGCATTAGTTCCACGGCACACAATAAGCATATTAAATGTATAAGAAACAAAATTGAGTATTAATAAAATAAACGTTTTTTTTTCTCAGGGAGTTGAAAATCAAAGAAAACAAACAACACAAACCTATCATTTATTAATAACAAAGATGGTAAGTGAACATAAACCAAGACTTCCTTAAGACTGCTACTACACATTGTATGTTCTGTCTCTATTCATCAAACTCTCTTAAAGAACAAGGATACGCTACCTGGAAAAGATAATTTTAAATCCTCATAATTCACTTCACTCTGCCCAATTTTAATAGGGTTAGCTGTAAACTTCAAGGCTTCTAGAGTGTTAGGTCACAAGGGGATGGCAAGGAAAACGATGGCATGAAATAGGAATTTTAAGCCAAACAGTAATATTTTTACAAGAAAATTTCCTAAGTGTTGGCTATACTGCATGCTGTTTTACATTATCCATGCCACTGAAGAAAAGCAGAAATCTGGATATTTCAACAACAGAAAAAACTTAAATCACTTCATCTACTCTCAGTCATACTCACTGAATTTTGTATGTACTAATTATCAACACTGTTTTGCAACACCCCAAGTTCATACTGGAGTCCTGGTGAGGCATTGTAGAATAAGCACTCAACCTCAAGGTCAGAAGTTCAAACTCACCAGTAGCTCCTTGAAAACCCTATACAGGGTCGCTAAGGGTCAGAACCAACTTGAGAGTACTTAACAACAAGCTCATACTAACAGACAGGCAAAAGGAATTCACAGCGTATTAAATAGGAAAGAAGTCAATCTAAGATGAAAAAAATCAACACTGATAATCCCTAAGTAGGTAACTATAGGAAAGTAATAATCGTGCCAAGAAGCCACGGACTATGAAGTGGAACTCCACAGGGCTCAAATCTTGAGTCTACATTTACTAGCCAAGAGACCTTGGGTATGTTATTTAACTTTTCTGTGCTCAGATTCCTCATGTATAAAATGCCTATTTATTTTAAGTTTTCCATAAGCTAAACCATGTTTATGCTTAGTATTTTTAATGATATTTTAAGCAAGATACAAAACCCATGCAACACATCTTTCTAATCTCATACACCTTTACTCAGCATTCTACTGACTGAGTCTAAAAACTATTAAGTTAGTTATGCTTAACTAGGAAACAACTTAGTTCTCAAGTTCAAAAAAGTTTTGTTAACTTATTCCTATCATTCTCTTGGATAACAACATAATTTTAGGGACAGTAATTCATAATGTCACTTAACCAAAACTTAATACATTCTAATCAGATACTTTTAAAATTCTCTTTAAAGGTGAAAATAACCACATTTTAATTTTAAGCCAACTTCTCTCCAAAATCAATTACCAATTTATTGGCCAAAGGCCTTCCAGGTCAAGACCCTCTCCTTATTGCATGGACACACACCTATAATCAGAATTAGTACCTCAAACCTAGCCAGTCAACGGTCCAAGTACAATGAGAATGCTTGAGCACTAATATGCAGAAAGTCCTAGTTACCAATAAAGTCTTGGGAAGGCTCTGTCCATTTGATTTTAATATCTTACTCATTCTGTACCAGGGGAAAAAAAAGACAGTGAGTCACTGTCCTTTGCAGAGATGCAACATCCCTAGTCATTTTTAAGTCAGAGGCCTAAAGTCACTATCCACCTTAAATGCTTCAAAGCTGTCCAGTGAAATCAAACCACTGAACACTGCTACTGTACATAAGGAAATACAGTAAGATTTCAAGACAACAGAAACCAGAAACAAAACACAGTCCACTCTATTCCAAAAGAAAAGGATCTTCCCTCACCTGCAGAACAAAACACTTTCATTAAAGAACTGAGGCTAAAGGTCATTTCACTTCCTGCTAAGGGACTTTAGTTCAACAAGTTGCCAAGAAAATAAACTGAATTAGATCACCAATTAGCTAAATATATGGATGCATACCCATGCTCCTTCACTCCAACAGAAAATCGAAACTTTACCCATCATTTTGGGTGAAAAGGAAGCAATCCATTCGTAGCACTTACCTGCAGCTTGTCCAGTCTTCGCCAGAAGAGACCCCAGTTCCAGGATACTCTGCTCTTTGACCTGCACTGCCTCTTCATCATTCTCCTGAATGTCTCGTTTCACTGGGAGAGGAAAATGCAAACCCTCTTAGAATTCTGACAAAAAAATGAAAACTGAGGGAAATTTCACCCTCACAAGACCCATTACAAGCTCAAGCATAGTCACCAAAAAACAAAGTCTAGAGTGTGTAGAAAAACTTTTAGACAAGAAAGCATAAAACGACCATGTATAGGTAGGACATGTTTCCTTTAAATCAATAAACTAGATTCCTCCTCTGATTCACTGGTATCTTTTCATTTTACCAGTTAGAATTTCCATTACCCACAAGCACTGAATGTCTGTGGTAGTCACTTAGCTAAAGCAAAATGAAAACAAGAGCTGAGGCCCATGCTGGGCACCTATGTTATATGAAAACATGAAACATGCCTGTATATTTACCTGCCTAACTAAATTCCAATGACCAAGACCAAGTTGTCAAAAGCCTTTAAATAAACTTTGTTGTTGTTCAATGCCACCGACTCAGTTCTGATTCATGGCGACACTGTACAGGGTTTCCAAGGAGCCGTCCAGGACTCCAAATAAACTTTATTTGTGTTAAGTGCTGTCAAGTTGGTTCCGACTCACAGCGACCCTGTACAGAGTTTGAACCGCCGCCCTTGTGGTTCCCAGTCCAGTGCTGATCTTGAACAAGTTACACTACGAAGGGACTGCTAGTTTATAATGGATTCAAGTCCTGTTAAAATAACTTTGTGCTATCTATCCCACTTTCAACTGTTACTAAAACTATTCTACAGCTCCAATGGCCGCTCCAGGTGAGCAGTGGCCATTGCAATCATTACCACCACTGGTTATCACTTCTCTTACAAGGCATCATGACTTGACAAAAACCAAGATTTTGAGACTCCATGATGGAGTCCGGAAAAAGTAAGGCTGTCAACCATCATGACTCAAGTCTGCTCTAGCCAGGAAGCTTTCAGGGCAAACAAAAAAATACGCTCACTGTATACAATTCCTGCGTTAAGAACAACAACAACAACAAAATACTAGGCACCTGGGCACAGAAAAAACAAAAAATTGAAGTCATGCTTCTCACATGAGTACTCACAGAAAAAAGCACACAGGTGATGGAGATGACTTTGGGTCTGTAACTGTAATGAAAGTCAAGGACAGAACTTCAAAAGCAAACACCCTGTACTGTACCAGTATCATCCGTTGGTAGAAGCTTCCTGACTCCCCACCTCCTCTCCTTCAATATTCTATTTCAACATCTTGTCACGGTCCTCTCTCCGTGCCCAGAAAGGAGTACCAAACTCCAACAGACTAACAAAAGTCAGCATAAAGGCCAACACCCTGGTAGTCCCATATACAGACGTTCTCATACTACTTGTTGATCCCATTCCAATCTTCTCCAACTACATTATTTAGAAGATCCCATTACTGTACGTTAACAGCTAGTCCGTGCCCTAGCTAAACTCTGCATCCTACATTTCTTTCTGTTCCACCTGCATTCCAGTAGAAAGCTGTCAGAAGCGGCGACCTGAGGTTCCCCTTTCCGTTTTCCTACTGTGTGCAAGTCCAAGACACAATCATACTAATTTTTGTTTTCTCCAGCAATGCGCCGCCGCTGCCTCCCAAGAGTTCCCTTAACTCCGCAACTGAGAACTAACTCTGAACTCATTTACAACCTCTACAGTGGACACTGGGGCGAATAGTCACCTCCTCTAGCCGGTCGGTCCCACCCCAACACCTCACTCTTCCACCCTACAGGGGGGCACTAGAAGGTCTAGGTCCCCTCCTCAAACCCAAGGCCAATCCCAGTGCGGGTCTCCTCCGTGTGCCCCGCAGGGGGAAAGTGGATCCCCTGGCTGGAGATTTCCGTAGTGGGCCGTAGTGGGGAGAAGTAGCAGCGCCCAGCGTCCCGTAGAAAGGAAACTCCAGGAGAGCGCTCGCGCTCCCGCTCCCACCCTGGGCAGACAGTGCTGATAACAACGGCGGGAAATGCCTGTCCTGAGCGGGTGTCGCCAAGGCACTTCGACTCGGGGCCAGTGTGTCGGCACAGCTCCCGGTCCCGGGCCAGTCCGTGCGGGCCACAGCGAGGACAACGCCGGCGAGGGGAGGGAGCCCCGGCTCGGCCCGCTCTCCCACCCCCCACGCTGAGCCCACCGTGAGTCAGCAGCCGGGGAGGGGATCGCCTCAGGGCTTCTCAGCGGACTGGGACCCAGGGGACCCCAGGGAGTCCCGAGCGGCCTGTGCCCCCGGCCCGGCCCCCCTCACACACACAGTGAGTCAGCAGCACCAGAGCCGGCTAGCACGGCCCCGCTCCGCCGCTGCCGACCAACACAGACCAAGCTGAGCCCGCGGGGCCGGGGAGGGGGCGCGACGGCCTTTACCGATGGAGTGGAGGATGTCGATGGAGGCCTCCCGGTCGGTGCTGAGTAGAGACTGAGCTCTCTGGAACTCCACCACCGCCGCCGCCGCCATCTTACCGCTCTCACACCGTCCCCGGCCGTGGCCGCCGACGCCGGAAGCACACGCCCGGAAAGCCCGCCCCCGTGTCCCTTCCCGGGTACGCTCTCCCGCCTCCTTTCCCAGAGCACCACGGGAGTTGTAGTCTCCCCGCCGAGAGAAAGGAATGAAAGGTGAGAGGGTGAGAGCGGCTGTGTCTCTCTTGGTGGGCAATCTTCCCACCTAGATCGGCAAATTTGGAAAAAGGCGAAGCCTAAAGAAGAGTGGCGATATAGGATAAGCACTGGATTGCTAATCACCAGGTTGGTGGTCCAAACCCACCAAGCCGCTCCTCGGAAACCCTGTACAGGGTCGCTGTGATTCGGAGGCACTTAATAACTGCAAGAACAAAGAAGTCTGAGGCCCAGTGCTAGTCCCGCCTACCTTAGAGTCCCCCCTCTAGCCCATGAAAGGGGGCGTTTTTGAGCACTTGTTTAGGTATTCAATGAAAGCTTTATTTGCAACTTCCACTTTTAACCATTCATACAGTGCAATACACAAACGGTCGCTATGGGGCGTGGAAGCAGCAGTCAAGAAATCAAACGACATAATGCTTTGGGCAAATCTACAGCAAAAGATCTTTTTTAAAGCAAAGATGTCACTTTGAGGACTAAGGTAAGCCTGACCCAAGCTATGGTATTTTAAATCATCTCATATGCATGAGACAGCTGCACAATGAATAAGGAAGACTGAAAAATTGATGCCTTTGAATTATGATGTTGGCAAAGAATATTGAATATACCATGGACTGCCAGAAGAACAAACAAATCTATCTTGGAAAAAGCACAGCTAGAGTGCTTCTTCAATGTGAGGATGATGAGACTTTGTCTCACATATTTTGCACATGTTAAAAACAGGGACCAGTCCCTAGAGAAAGAGATCATGCTTGATAAAGTACAGGGTCCGCAAAAAAGAGGAAAGATTCTCAATGAGATGGATTGTCACAGTGGCTGAAACAATGCAAGACTTGTGAGGATGGCACAGGACTGGGCAGTGTTTTGTTCTCTTGTACACAGGGTCTTTATGAATTGGAACTGACTCAGCAACATCTAACAGCAACATTTGGCAAATAACACCATTCAGATACATTCAAGTTTCTAACAACATTGAACACACAAATTTTCCAAGTTTCGATACTACAGAACCCTAGCTAGTTTTTTATTTAAAACCATCAATGTCGGAGAAAATTGTCTTTCCCAAGTACTTCTTTCAATCTTGAAACAACATTGTATGTCAGAAAGTGAAACTCCAGTTTTCACCTATTCACTTGGTAATACCTCTTGAAGTATATTCCCACACAAGTCTGGGAATCTAAAAGAAGTCTAAAACAATTCCCGAGTCCCCAACTCTAAAAAAGAAAAACAGCAGATTCCCCCTACCCCAAATCTCCAGTTTCTTCAAGTAAAATAACAGATATCTGAAAGGTTGCCAAGTGGGAAGAGAAAGAACATTTTATGTGGCCACTGAGGGTTGAGAACTCAGGAAGGTACTAAATAATATACAGAGGAAGACTGTTCCGCAGGTGATAACTCTCCAAAAATGGAATATGCTGTTCCGTAAAGGAAACTGCAAAGGGAGTCAACATTACACCCCTCTGTGCCTGAGTTAAGGAACCTGGTGGTGCTCTAGGATAAGCACTGGACTGCTAACCACAAGGTCAGCAGTTCAAACCCACCAACCTTTCCCTGGGAGAAAGATGACGCTGTTTGGTCCCATAAAGATTTACAATCTTGGAAACCCTATAAAGAGTCACTATGAGTGGGTTGAATGATTGGTGACGGGCAGACCTACCTATTGCCGTCAACTAGATTCCAACGTGTAGTAACCCTGTGGTGATGTGCTGACTCCGACTCACAGTGACCCTGTATAGGATTTCCAAAGCTGTAAATCATTATGGGATCAAAAAGCCTCATCTTTTTTCTGTGGAGCAGCTGGTAGACTCAAACTGCTGACCTTGTGGTTAGCAGCCCAACTCATAATCCACTATACTGCCAGGGTTTCTTAGCAACTCTGTAGGACAGAGAAATAGTGTTCCATAAGGCTGCAAATCTTTATGGAAGCAGATAGCCACATCTTTCTCTCATACAGCAGTTGGTGGCAGCAAACCACTGACCTTTCACTGACAGCGTAGTGCTTTAACCACTGTGCTATTGAGTTAGGCAACTGATATGCAGAAACATCAAAAAGTTTGTGGAAATGGGTATTTACTTTTGGTGCAAACATATCCACAAGTATGGTAGAACATAGAGGAGACAAAAAAACTTCTTAAACATGACCAAACACCTTAAGAGAATGAGTCTCTGGGCCTAGGGATTCAGGACTTTAGTCTTGGGAGACACTAAGGTCAACTGGCATAACCCAGTCCACAAAGACAATGTTCTATATCCTACTTTGGTGAGTAGCATCTGGCGTCTTAAAAGCTCATGAGCAATCATCTAATGTGAAACTGTTGGTCTCTCCCTGTCCAGAGGAAAGAAAAGTGATGAAAATCAAAGACACATGGAAGCAAATGGACTGAAGGGCCGCATGAACAACAGTATCCATGACCCTGAGACCAGAACTATATGGTGGCTGGCTACCACTGAACAACTGAAAGGGATCATGTTAGTAGGTCCTAGAGAAAGTGGGAAAAACAGTGGAACAAAACACAAACTCATGAAAAAAGACCAGGCTTACTGGTCAGATGAAGACTGGTAGAACCCCCCCAAGATTATGGCCCTCAGTCACCCTTCAGATATAGAACTAAACTTACCCCCCAAACGCCCACACACCCCCAGTTCAATTTTCAGTGAACCCACAGATAGATCTATAAGGGGAACAATAACACTAGTGAGATACAAAAGAGAAAAGAAGGAATAATAGAAACAGGAAACACGGGGAGGAAGTATCATGATGTTACATTGAAAGGATTGCAATCAATGTGATGAAACAAAATGTGTATAAATTGTTGAAAGTAAAACAGATTATTTGCTCTGTAAACCTTCACCCAATTCATAATAAAAAAGTTAAAGGGGAAAAAGTTTGTGGGAAAATTCCAATACCTTTTGCTTCCATTTTGCAACCAACTTTTTGAAGCACTCGGTTTATCTCCTTTTATCCTCCCAACAATGTTCTGTAAAGAAGATATTATTTACTCCTCCCTAGATGAGAAGTCCTGGTGTGGCACTGTGGGTTAATGCGCCAAACTGCAAGGCCGTTTGAACTGCAA